AAATGAAATCATAAAAAAATAATATATATTCAGGTTCTCTGGTGACAAAATCGGATATAATCATCACCCCGCCACCACCGTGCTTTGCAGTCAGTGGTTTGGTTCTCCTTAACTCCAAGAGTTCAGATTATACTTTCTAAATTTAAGCTGTACCTCTACAGTATGAAATCTTAAATGTGAAAAAACAGCTCTTCCAAATAAACCAAGGTCATTACATTTTTGTTTTTGTAAATAGTCTTCAACTGAATTGAAGGTCCTGGAAGTGTTCTAATTTCTCTCAGCATTTATCCAACTATGATTATCTATTGTCATAAATGAAGCACACAATATTTTATGTGTTAATTATTGCGGCTTCAAAACTTAAAAAAATTGGACAAACATTTTCAATTTAAAAAAAAAATAAGTATGCAGAAATGTAGCTGTTTCCTTGCAGCAGGAAAATGCCAACTCTTTCTGCACAGAGTTTGCATGCTCTCTCCAGGTGCTCAGTTACATTTTGGTCACTCAGCCTCTCTGAATTAATCTGAGGTGGTGTATGTATATCTGTGGGGTGCTTTGTCATAGATTGGCCACCTGTCCAGGTTGTTCCCCACCTCTTTCTCAATAGCCACTGCAGATAGTTACCAGCACTTTTCAGAACTTTAAAAAATAAACTTCCAATCTGATTTAATCTTTTTCCTCCCTAACTATATATTACAACACTGGTTTGCTCGTACTGATGATCATGTCAACAAGTACCTTTAATTAACAGCTCTGGCTGCTATTTTCCTTCACTAAATCGTACCGAGCAGGGTTCTTCATTTTCCCTAAAAATGCGCGATCAGTTCTGTTTTCTTTCATAGGCGCATGTCTGCTACTGGTCTTTGTTGACAGCTTTTTGTCAACTTTTTTTTCACTGTTCTGGAAAAACGTATGATCGGCACTTGGGCTGGGTATTTTCGCCAAAGTCCTGAATCGATTCGATTTTTATTCATACAGCTCTGAATCGATTAATTTCGATTCAATCTGTTTTTACAATGAAAGTGGTTCAACTGTTTCGAAATACTCATGTATTTAATTTATTTCCTGTAATATTCAACACAAAGTGCAAACTTGTAAATCGGACAGTTTAAACTTGAGATGTGAACAGAACTGTCTCAAAAGTGCAACCTTGTTTGTGAAAAGTGAAAAAATGAAGCCTCACACGATCAAGCAGACGTGACACAGACAAACCATATTTGCAGCATTGTCTGTAAGAACTACAGGGTGTTTGCTGGTCAGCCCACATTTATTAATGTCTTCAGTCAACCTATTGGCTATATTTGCAGCTGTCTGGCTTGAAGTCATCTTGAGAGCATCTTTCCTGCTTATTTGAATGTGAACGTCACGCGGGTCACTATAAAACGAATCGATCTCATTTCCTAGAAATCGATTTTGCAAAAATGTAAAGGAATCAATTTTTTTTACCCAGCCCTAATCAGCATAGAAATCACCCAAATAAGATGGTGAATAAAAAAAAAAAAAAAATTTATAAAATAGTGGAAGGAAAAAATGTTCCTTTATGTATGATCATAATAAAACTAGACAGAACCTTTGAATCGAGTATTTTAAGTTTTTCGATTTTTCTAAATGCAATGTCATTTTTTGGTTCCAGGCTGGTTACGGCTACGGCCTGCCCATCTCTCGACTCTACGCCCGCTACTTTCAGGGGGACCTGAAGCTCTACTCTCTGGAGGGATATGGAACCGATGCAGTGATCTACATACGGGTAACTGAGTTTACAGCACAGCAGTCTCCGTTTCTGCCGCCGAATAAGATTCAGCAGATTCCTCCTTTGTCTTCTTCCAGGCGCTCTCCACAGAGTCAATCGAGCGGCTTCCTGTGTACAACAAGTCAGCCTGGAAGCACTACAAGACGATCCACGAGGCTGATGATTGGTGCGTCCCTAGCAAGGAGCCCAAGGACATGACAACGTTTCGCAGTTTCTGATCCTAAAAAGTGAATGAATTTGCAGAAAAGCTTATTGTCAACAACCGTGTGAGGGTGTATTTAAAGATGAAAGTAGGATAATGGGAGATGTTTTGTGCCATATATTTTAAAGAAGCTACCAATTGTACTGACGTGGATGGGGTTGGAAGTCATTTCTTTGCTCTTTCAGTATTGGGCGTCACATTTAGTATTTTATCCTGGTGGGAATAAATATAGTCGCTTATAGTTTAACTCTGAAATGGCTTCATTAGTTTTGAGTTTATTAAGTTTGTAGTTTTTCATTGCTTTTTGAAATGTGAGTAGCATTTGTCATATAAGGCAAAAAAAAAAAATTATATTGATGTAAATAGTTTTTTGGGTTGTTTGGCGATTTATTTTAAGTTTAATCCTTTTTGTCGGAGTTTATTAAGCAAACCTGCGGCTGTTTCCTTTGTTACAACAAAAACTGCCATCTGAAAGCTGTTATAAGTTTTAGCAAACATTTCTGGAGGACTTATTGGTGTCCTTTGAGATGTTCTGTTGTTTCAGCCAAGATTTAGCACCTTTAATGAGATCATGTGCGCATCCTGTCATGTATAACTTAATATGATGCAGCAGAGTGCTGTGTTTGTATTAGATTTAGGTCACTGTTGACATGTTGCACTATAAGCACTTATCTTTAGGGTTTAATGGATTTATTTGTATAAAATGCTCTATGCAAACAGAGTAGATGGAGGCAGATACTGATGTAAACAAGGCTTCAGGTTTTTGTTTTAACAGGCAGAAACACTCCACTTTCTTGGACTGTTTAGGGCATTAAGGTCAAGCGTCTCTGGAAGCTTCCCAGAATGTTATATATTTATGATGCAATGTTGGGGCAAAAGCTTGAATAAATTATTTTCAAATGATTGTTATTGAATGCTTAAGTCTGTTTTTAGATGTTTCATAGCTGTTAATGCAGTAAAAAGTTGCACAAATCAGCTAGTTTTATTTAACTTTAAGGGACTATATCATGAAGAAGTAACTTTTAACCAAGTTATGCTAATCCTTCAGATCACACAGAGGGGTATTTCATTTAATTCATGCATCTACAATAACTGGTTCCTCTGTGAGACAGAACACTAATGATTTAAATGTTGAGTAGCTCTTTTATCAGCTAATCTGCACAGGCAGCAATGTTGCCCTTTTTTGCTAAATCTACGTCATGAACATCTGTTGTTTGGCCTTGAGCCCTCCAAAGTGTTGTGATATGTTGCAAAATGGGCGGCACCAAGATGTGGAGAGTCTGTTTCTCTTTTTGAAGCTTTTTTTTGGTGTTGGGTAAAAAATTAAATTTCATAGTGATACCCACACAACTCTTAAAGCATTATTTCAATATGTATTTGCCTATAGGTGACTTTGAAAGGCTAAAAAGCAAGATATATGACCTTTAAAACCAGGCTTATGATATATGTAGATTTGTAGATTCTTCAAAGGACTGTCTAGAATCTAGATGTAAAAAGGAAAGGACTGAGGAGCTTTTTAATATGAAAAGGATGCAAAAAAAAAATCTCACTCCTTGGAAAAGTTTATGTATTTACAAATTCTTTTACCGGGTTTTTTCCAACCCCCCGGGGGGTTCCTTGGTTTTTTTTTTTTTTGTAACTATCTTGATGTAGTTCCAGAAGTATATAGCGGACCAAAATACATAATAAAATAAGTAAACGTGAGTCAGCATGAAACCATAAAATATACAATTTAATGTATCATATAATCAAAATGACATTTAAAATTCTTAAATGTATATAAAATGAATTAAATTTTTCACTATATATAAATATGAAGTGAAATAAGATGGCAGACGCCAGTCTGTATTATATTTTGGGACACAGGGTGAAATGTTTGGGAAACCTAGCTCTAGTAACTTTATGTAAGGCTTTTATCTTGAAGAGGTAACTTAAAAAAAAAAATATATATATATATATATATAACTGGTTAAAATACAGTTGTAAGTTGGAACATATTCTTCCAATAAACAACTACATAAACCTTTACTTTATGAGTGTGAGGTTAGTTTTTTGAAAGGCTAAGCATTCAATTCATGTACCTGTTATTGGTGTACTGAGTGCTGTAGAGGTAAACTTTTATTTTGAAGAGTTCTATTTTTAAACTTCTGCTTTTAAAATATATAGGGTATTAAAAATTAAGCTTCTGCTTTTAATATATATAGGGTATTAATAATCCTACTTTATATAATGAGTATTTTATTTTGTGAGTTAACTTAAAAACCTCTGTGGTTGCATGTGCATTATTTTTTAAAGTCCATTTTAAATCTTCCCTTGTCAGATAATCTAAAGTATGTGCTGCTCTCAGGTTGTCTCAATGATTCCCACCTATTCTATTTAAAAAAAGATTACTATAGATGTTGTTTCAAACTCAAAGATGCAGTTTTAATGTTGGCAGCAAAGCTTGGTACTTGTTTCTACAGTAAGATTCTGAGTAAAGTAACATGACCCTTTATGGGTAGAACTGACTGCTCTGAATGAGGCTGACAGAAAACAGTAACCCTTACCAGTAGAACTGAAACATTTTCTAAAAAATTATTAGATAATTTCGGAAACATTTATCTTTAAGGGAGGTGAAGCTTACTGAGCCAAAGATTGCAAGATAATAAAAAAAATTCTGGAAAGTCTTTCTTTATCCAAATAAATCCACAAATTTAGGGGAAATTAGTTTTTGTAAAAAGGAAATTCCCTTTTCTTTTTATTTTTTTGTTTTGGATTACTTATTCCAGGTCCCTCTTCCAATTACAGTTAAGAACTGTATATACACTGAGTATATATTATACATAGATACATTGTACAGCACTTTAAACAACTATAGGACCAAAGTACTTTCTAAAGTTGATATGGGAATAATAAACAAATCCAAACATTTTAGAATTTTGATGACCTCATGGGATCATTTTTTATTTTATTTTTTTAAATCAGCCACCAAAAACAGAAATGTGTGCCCCTCAATATTGGACTGCCTATTTTTTCCAGGGCTTCATTTTTTTTTTTTTTTAAGCTGTGCTGTCTAACATTGCAGAAGACCTCTTGAAACCCCAACCAGGACGGTACTAAAATTGGGGCTGGTACCTTGTAATGGTAACAAAACTAAAACCCTATTAACAGAGTGGAAAAGGGTCATTAGAAAGCTGAACTGTGGATGGCTGCTAATGGTCTGGCTTACACCTATAAGATGAGCTTGGATCACATTTATTGGTCTCTTACCACACATTTCAGGGTATTCTGGGTGCACTTTCCTTGTAAATTACATTGCTATGGTCATTTAAAACGAAATTCACCAGAGGTGGACATGTCACCATGTTTATAACACACCGACTCCTAATTTAGAATGAAAAGTCATAAAAATGCAATACATACCATAAGAGGTGATTATTAGTTTATTGATGCTGCATGTACCAAGATTAGATTCACTGAGTTTAGAAAACATTGTTTTCTTTTGGTCTAACATTTAATATTTCAAACAAACTTGGGGTTAGATTTAAGAATTAAGAAAGCACTTCGGTTTCAAGGTGAATATTCTTCGTTTAGCCCTGCAGTCACATGTGAAACGGCAATCGATGAACAGGTCCTCATCACTTTACAGAGCATCCTGGTACCAAACAGAGTCAGGCACCCAGCAGCAGCATTCACCTGGTCCCTACTAGGTAATAATCTCAGTTCTTTCCTTTCAGCCATAAAGAGAAAAATAGCTTGGATATTCTACTTAGTAGAAAAATTTAAGATAGTAAAAAATAAAAAAAGGAATTTAAGTAAAAATGCAGTTTACAGGCACATGTATAAAACATATTTATACATTTAAAACCTTGCTGCCCTTTGACGCTTAAGAGACTAATAGTGCTTTTATCTGAACTGTACAATAAGTGTTCCAGCCAAAACCTGAACATACTCAGACATAGCATTTCAACACGTACACACATGTATATATATATAAAAAAAAGCCACATACATTTGCCTTCCATCAGTCAATTTGTGCATGATTTGCAAAAACTACATTATAATAGAAAATGAATCTCATTAATTATAGTGTCAATCTTTTAAGTGGTAAAAATGTTAGAATCTCTTTTTTTTTTTTTCTTGGTCTTTTACCAAACATTAAAAAAAAAAGTTAATGCATGTGATAAAAGGAATATTAAGAATATCAAGAACCACCTCTGGTCCTTTAAGAGTCTGAGAAGACCTAGAATCAACTCCATTTATCCTGTAGAGTCACAGAAGGATGGTTGTCAGTCAGAGACAAATAATCAAAGTTAAACCTAAATCAAGGGGACATTTAGAGACTCTAGTTCATTCATTTTGTGTCTCTGGATTGTGGAGGAAAAAAATAAGGCATAGGAACAGCTGCACAGGTAAAAAATGGCCAAACATAATAACAAAAGTTAAACACAGGAAGTCCCAGCTGGCCAAACTAGCAGTGTTATCCACTGTGGTTTTCTTGAAGAAACATCATGGAATTAAGAAGAACAAATGTCTTTTTGAAGTTCTGAACAGGATTAAAAGTCAAGGGAAGGCTTCAATCAGGGGAAACGGCTCCGATCAGCAGATAGAGTCACCCTGGACTGGTAGTCTCCCACTGCGTCGACCCTCCTTCTCTCTTTTCTCTCGCTGTTTTTCCAGCTTCTCCTGGGCCTTCCGCATTTCCTTCAGCTTCTTTTTGATAGTAGAGCGGTCACTTTGACTGGACACACCAAGTGCCTTAAGGGACAAAGCAGAATTTCATTACAACACAGAGACAAACTGCACACATTCAACTACCTTCATGAAACTATAACATGGCTCTTTCTGTGTTTTTGTCAGCAAATTTCCTGCTTTTGCAATAAGCCAGAAAAGTCAAAGATGCTAAAAGCTATTAAATCAGTGTGTTGCAAATATATAGCCACAAGGGGGCAGCATCTAAATTTGAAGAAACATCTCTTTACTACTTCTAAAAAAGTTAAAAAAACAAAAAAACTCTTTATTACTTGGATTTATTTTAAAATTTTCTTTTACCTTCAGTTTGTCACTGTCTAAGTGCAGAAGCTGCTGGCCATCGATTCCCTTTGCAGTGAATTCAGGTGTGTACTGGTCCATATTCATGCCCATTAACCAGTGACAGACCTGCTGATGGGTCCACTCAGAGATGGGCCGGTTCTGCCACTGATATTCTTTTCCAACAGGGATTGGTTCATCATCCAAGGTCTGTATTTAAAAAAAAAAANAAGCCAAATTACATTTTATAAAGGTATACTTAGACCAATGCTTTGATCTTTGAAGAATTTAACTGTGCTCCAATAAAACTTAAGCAATTTTAAGGCAAAAAGAATTAAAAAAAAAAACTTTAGTTAAGGCAAAAATCTAGTTTCAGGAGATCAAGTATATGGCAGAAAAAAGATATACAAGTATGGATACTAGAGAGATAGATGAATGTTGATACATGGATGGATGAATGGTTACATTTTTAAACAATGGGATAGAGAATAATGTTCCCTTTTCTTATTTTAATTCCAATCCAGACCCCCCCAAAAAAAAAAAAAAAAAAAAATAATAATAATAATAATAATAATAATAATAATAATAATAATAATAATAATAATAATAATAATAATAATAATAATAATAAATATATATATATATATATATCTTAAAGTTGGGCACCTGGTATCTGTCAGCACTACTTCTATTTTTGTTAGCTTTCTACAACAGAGGATGTTTTCTTTATATAAAAAGAAATAGAATTGTTGTAAGATATACACTTTCAGTCAGTCTGCAGGCAGTAATTATAGATGCCAAGATCAAAATATTTGGGGGCTTTAATGACATCTTAGAATCTCTGTTTTCCCAAGCTTGGAATATTTATACAACAAACAACTACAATTGGGTTTAAAAAAAAGAACTAGGTGCCAACGTTTAATTATAGATTTTCTCTAATCCAAACGGTGTCCAAATTATACCAGCAGGCTTAATTATATGTTTTGATGTGTTTTGGGTCGTTGTGCTGTCAGAAAGAAAATACATCTATGTTTACCTTCCAACCACAAGTTGGTCATCAGATGAAAAAAAAAGCCAAGAGTCAAACACTCAATGAATCATAAATTGTGTTAAAAAGTGTTGACCAAGAAAAAAAAAAGCCTTTCTACAGAACCAACCTTTAAATATGAAACCAGTTAATGTTTTGCCTAAAACAACATTTGGAGGTGATGTTTTTAGACATAACAGTCCTCCATGGTGATGGCAGCATCATGCTGGGGGATTGTTTGGCTGCCAGTGATGTGTTTATATTACACAAAGCAGGGGGCTAATGAAAAGAGAACATTACTTTTAAGTTATTCCTTTAATTCAGCAGCGTGAAGGTTCAAATTTGGACCAGACAGTTCGTTCCAACAGGACTGAATAGCAACCTGTTTAAAGGATTTCCTTTTCTGATGAGGGCTTAGATATCCAGCCAAACTTACTCCAGTTTGTGGTAGGTTTGATAAAAAAATGTGTTTCTCTGTAACTGACGTAAATCTAACCAAAATAAGAAGGGATTTGTGTACAGAATATTTTTGAGCATATATGGATGAGTTACAACAGTGAAACAAATTATTACTGGAGCACCAATTCCTGATTTTAAAACTAATGGAAGTTGTATAATAAAATCCCCCTAAAAATAAACATTCAATCGTTGAAGACGAGTCTCAGTAAATTTCTGACTGAAAGTGTACAACTGTTTACATTCCCTCCAAAGTGCTTTTAAGTACCAACAAAGTACTGATGGTTTGTGTGAAAACTACAAATGTTTCAACATGACTGTAAATATGTTGAAAAGGTAGAATAAATTATTTACCTTTAGAGTGAAGGAACATAAAAGCTGCAAAGCAAATACTAATTCACTTCAATCCATTTTTAAAACGTAACCTACAGCATTGAGAAGCTGATAAACATTCCCCAAGCGAGAACAAAAACGAAAAACCAGCGTGCATATAAAGGAAAACATCCCAAAACTGTAGTGCATGTCGATGTTTTCACACTGAGCCGCAGAGACAAACAAACATGAGGAAAGCTGAAACATCACTAAACAGGAAGAAGAGATTCCAGCTGCACTAAAGCAGAAGTATGCACTATCAAAATCATGGCTAACTTAATGAAAAGCTAAGCCACGCGACTTGCTGCGATACAAAACAAACCGGCTTTAACAGACAGACATGCCGCGCTCACATAGCCTCTGTCCATTCATGTTTTAATGTGTGCTTTGAAAGGGGGCGAGGCTCAAAGGGCATGCTTGAGAATGTCCCCTTTCAGGTGCATCAAGGCGTCCCCACACAGCTTTTGTGACTGCACAACAAGGAGAGCACTCACCTCGCTGGAAGAGAAGATTAAAGTGTGTGAGCGCCCAGACAGATTGGGTTCAGCGACTAACCCAGAGATGTCTGAACTGGCGCTGGCAGGGCTAGAATCATCTATGACTGAAAAACTCTGGAACAATGGGAAAGAAGGAACGCATTTACTAAGGTAACATCAAACACCAGCTTCTGTTCACTACCACAGGCAGACAAACAACAGGATGACAGCTGACGGCAGTGATGTATGCCACAAAAACACGTTGATGTATGATTAAGAGCAATTACAGTGGTGGCAGTGCATACTGATTATCTAGCATAGACATGACTGTGACCTTAAACTGTGAGCGGAAGGAAGATCAGAGTCTATGGTGCACAATTAAAAACTAAATCCACCACCAAAGCTAGATGATGATCCTGTAAACTAGAGGAAGGCTAGTGCTAATGAGAGCCCGCCAAAAATAAACCAGATTCAGGTATGGGGTAATGTTTTTTTTTTTTCTTCTAAAGATAGCTAAACCACAAAGATTTCATTTTTTAAAAAGGTTGTAAGTATAGCCTGTTGCACAGCGTCTTGCAGAAGTATTCACACCTCTTGGACTTTTTTTCCTAAATTTTGTTCTGTTGCAACCGCAAACCTTTTTGTTTAAATAAATATCTAAAAAGAGCATTATACATTTCTATTTATTCCTCCTGAATCAGTTCTTTGTAGACCCAGTTTTATAATTGGTGCAAGTTTACCCTCTTCTTTGCCAAAGATATCAAGTTTTTAATCCATTTGGAAAATTTTAAACATTGAAATGTGATGATCGATATTGTCTTACAATAGAGTCTAAATAGATTTAGAATTGGACTTTGACCAGGCCATTTTTACACATGAATATACTATAATCAACTTTTTTTTTTGTTGGTTAGATGTTAGGGGTCCAGGTCCTGTAGGGGGGTTAACGTCCACACCAGGATTGCCCTGAATTTCACTCGAGCCATCCTCACATAAACTCCTGCAAGTTAAACTGCAGTATTACCACAGCAAAAAGCTGCCACAACTATCTTTCACTTTCACACAGATGGTGTTTAATTGGAATTTTTTTTTATTATTGTAGCCCAAAAAGCTCATTTATCAAATTGTTAACAAATAAACATAACTGTTTTGGTTTTTTTTGAGGGGCACATAACTGACTATTTAAGGCATCTTCTGAAGGCAGCTGCTGTAGATCTATTTAGGAGCATCAAATTGCAGGCAGTCTAATGCAATTCGAGGTTTTTAAATGAGTTAAACATTCTGCTTGAAAACAGTCACTACTTTGTGTTGCTCTACAAAAATATTAATAATCAAAGTTTGTGGTTTAAATATAAAAAAAGTGTAAAGGGGTGTGAATATTTTGCAAGGTTCTACAAGTCTTTTCCTGAGATGGTCAGATTGTTTAGTTCAAACAAAGAGAAACAACAACCAGACATGCAGGTTTTCTACACGGCCAATTTATTTCTTACAAGTAATTCATTCAAAGAATTAAAAAATCTAAAGCCTGCACATGTGTTCTAATATTCACACATGAATCCCTAATAGCATTTTCCAATTAAGCATTTTAGGTCTATAAAAGTATTGCTGGGCTGTTTGTTCTTCAACAAGTCTGAAGTCTTTCTTAAAATAAATGTAATAAACAGGGAAAAAAGGGTTTAATTAGGTGTTAAAACTTTACCACATACCCACTACAAAACCAGTAGTGAATTACTCCAGGAATACGTTCTATATGAGAAGTTAATCAAGGATCGAGCTTGTTAGTGAAACACTACTGAGTGATTTTGAGTCAAAGCAGTGATTTAAAAAAACGTGTATACTGTACCAAATCTAACGAGCGACTGAATAAAGAGGACCAGGAGAGATTTGTCTGTTTAAAGGAAACAAGGTCAAAGAAGACTCATCAGAAAGTAAGGTGGTAAAATAAAATAAAGAACCACAGAATCAGAAGTCATTTCACAGATATATACTCTTATAGCTTCAGTTCCAGTCTTGAACTTTTTAAAAGACAATTGTTTGAACAGCAGTTGGCCAAAGCCTGCATGATGGGCAGGCGTTCCACTCAGTAGATATGCAACATCACTGCAAAATAAGCTTGATGCTGTGAGGACTTTTCACCTAGTAACCTTTTAAAAAAGGCAAAGCATCTAATTAATAAATAAACAAGATCTTCCAAGGAAAGATTATGCCGAACACTGACGAGGAACTGTGCAGAAAAGCACCACCGGACCCAACCAGAACAGTTTAAGGGTTGGAGTGTAAGGAAACAGGACGTAATCCTGGCAAAATGTTGGGATAGTTATGCTGACAATATTTAGACATAAAAATGCAGATGGATAGATAGATTTAATTATTTTCTTTGACATAAAGAAACACTGAAACACAGATCTAAATACACGTGCAACAGTTATACCTTATGTCTACGGTCCTGGCTTTGCTCACTGCTGGTTTCATTTGTAGTATATGGCAAGCTGCTAGTGGATGAGGACGGCTCTCTGTCCCTGTCTTTGTCTCCAAACCAGGAGAACGGCATACAGGTGGGGACAGAGGTCATCGACTCTGCAGGAGAAAGGTTCCCTCCGGATTCCTCTAGTAACTCTGCAGACCCCCTGGTCATCAGATTAGTAGTGAGAGGTCATTAAAAACAAAAGAGTTATGTAAATCTGGAATCAAGGACATAAGCTAAAAATATTTCTCTGCATCAAATTCCTCTTTATTTCAGTTATTTCAGCAAAAAGCTGAAAGAAATTCCCCTCATGTTTGTGGCAAGGTCATCATCTTTTCAGTAATTTGATCCAACGGGATAATGGAGAATTATACAAATGCACAGATTAAAAGTATTTAGTTTAGTTGACTTAAAAGATTTTGAGTCCAAACGAATGGAAATAATTTTCAAGTTTTCAGAAAATGTAAGTATGCTATAATCATGCATCAATATGGTGATGGCATGAAGGGCTGTCCGAATGTGACCCTGCTGGGATATATATAAAGCTTAGCTTGCTTTAAATGTTACCTTTAGATCATCTTCCTCCGTGGTTTAGCCACAAATTATGTCACTTAGCCCCCACAAGTGAGCTTTGTGATTAACATGGTTATAAACCAAGTATTTGTTACATTTTAGACAGATGGAAAATTAACTCAGCTTGTCGGCTTTGGGCTTGATTAAACACAATGAGCAAACATCAGATGATACAGCTTCCCAGTTAACTGACGGTGGAGGCTTTAGTGCCTATCCATGTGTACTGGCTTAGTAATATATAAGTTTCACTTTTTTAACTTGATAGCTAAAAGACAAAATGTTCATGTTTCAATTTATTCACAACTAAAGAACTGGTATGTTCAGTTTAAATTAGAAAACATTAGAATGTTAAGAAACTATATAAGAAGTCCAATAAGTACCTGCTCTCCAGAGAAGCTCTCATGGCCTCTTTGTCTTTGTCTTTTTTCCCTTTGCCACCAGACTTGCGAAGGCCTCTGCTTGGATCAGATAATCATTTAAAACCAAATATGGGATCTTTGCTACACATTATTAGTTGATAACTAGAATACTTGCCCAAAATCTGGAAACCGTCTCTTATGTTTTGAAGTAGAAGGCTCGCTGAGCTCCTCTGTAACGAAGCAGAGATCAACAGCCTCAGCAAGAAGAAAAACTCCTTTGCTATTGCAGACGTTAGATTTGCTTTTGCTGTACCTTTGAGTTCCTTCCCTTTGCCTTTGGATTCCCTCTTCTTAGCGTTTCGCATAAAACCAGAGGGAGATTGTGGTGAGGAGGTGTGTTTTGGGGAAGACAACGGACTACCACTGCTTTCAATACTATCCCCCAGCGATGGTGACAGAGATGGACTACTGGACATCTCCGCTTTGCTCTTGGAAGCATCTCTGGTCTCGCCTTGAATGTCTTTCTGTCCGTTTCCAGGATAGCAGACGTTGACAGGGAGGGCCAGACTCTCCTGCACTGACCGCCGCCTCCCAGCAGATTCCTGCTCCTCCTGCTCGTCCTCTTCTTCAGTTTCCTGTAGGGACCGAGCTAATTATTAACAAGGACAATACAAGGAAGAGAGAATAAAAGCTATTTATGTAGCATAAAGCTCTGGTCAGCAGTGTTTGGATTATGTCACAATGCTGAAGTTTTCATCTACATTCATCTAGGGAGTTCTACCATTACAGAACCTTCTGGTATATTCATATTACTCTAAAAAATCGTAACAGCTGATCAACTCAGCAAATCAGGATTAGCGCTGTAACTACAGGTTTCAGCACAAAGTCACACCTTTACTGTGAGCGTGCTACTCACACTCTCTCTAGATGGGCGGCCTATAATTTGAGCACTTTGGCTTTGATTTGGGTAAACATGGAATAAATTAAGTTTCTGACCTGAGAATGGCGAGATGGACTGGCTAAGGTTTCTTTCAATTTGGACCGAGACGGAGCCTGACGCCTGCTCATCTGAGCCAGCCGGCATTTTGCCCGCTGAGCACTGGTGTCCAGGAGCCTGGTTTCAGGAACCAGTTCAGTCCAGTCTTGATCTAAAACAGAAAATAAACACAGTGCAATTAAAGATGGATTTGCCTCTTTACAGATTTCTTCTGTTTGTGTGTTTAATCTAAATGATTCAGATCAAACTAACTTTATCATTAAACAGAAATAACCAGATTAAATAAAATAAATCTTATTTAAAAATCTATCAACAGCCTAATAGCTCTAGTTTCATCATGTCATCAGTACACATCATGTAATCACATTACAGCAATAATCAATATTTTTTTATATTGATTTTAGTACATCTTTACTCGAGGTCACGATTATTGAGCAGGAAGCTGAGCCCTCTAAGGTACAGGGTAGAACAGATAATTAAAACTTCATTGAGGTTTCAGGTCAGTTGAATTAATCGGTGTTCAAACAGTTTAGAAAGCAGGTCAGAAAATGTATCCAAATGTTTTTTAGGGTGTTTCTGTGTCTAATACTGGGATCTTTCCATCTTTAATAAAAGAAACTCTCTTCAATGCATTAGCTAATGAAGAGTATTTTTTTCTGAGTTAAGCTGATTAACATGACAGATATTCATTTTCAAAATGGACAAAAGAAACATGTGTAGCTAAAAAAAAAAAAATATTCTCTTAGCTGTTGTAGGGATATTAAGAGGTCACAAAACGAATAGAAAAAATATTTGTTTAAATTTAGCTTTTATTTAACCAGTAAAAACCCAAGTGAAGCCCCTGTCACACCTTCACAATTTAGCCAGGGTATGCTTGATGTCCCAAAATCTTCTAAAACGCTGGCATACGCTGAACTTACTATGTATTTTTTCCAATTTTGGGCGTATAATTAGAGTATTCATAACTAGTCCAAAACTTATGTCAAACGACAGCCTAACTTATGCATAACGGACGGCAGCGTAATGCTCATAAAATGTCCAAGCCAGTGTCCTGACGTGGGCAGCAATGCAAAGATTTCTTTCATCGCAGTATTAACCTTGCTGCTGTTTACTGCCTGCCAAAAAAGAAAAAGAGAAAGAAAGAAAAGAACGAAAAAGAAAGAAACGAGAGACAGAGAGAGAGAGAGTGGGTTTGCAGTTACAGCAGTTTCAGCGTCATGTCTGCTAGTAAGTTTATTGGCTGTGGGCTTGAACGCAGGGAGGATCCATCGCACTCACCTTTGCATACGTTATGCACAAGTTACTGATAGGTTTTGGATAAGCTAGACACCATAACTTATGAGTGACTAACACTTAACGCATATCAACAATCAGATAACTTACCTGTAACCTATGGCCCACGTATGAGCATATGCTGGCATACTTCTCGATTTACTTGCCGTATGTCAACGGTGCCAGCGTGTTTCAGCGTACTTCAGCGTGCTCATAACTTATACAAAACGTACCAATAAATTATCCAATGTATGCCAGCGTTTTTGCTAGATTTTTCGTATGTCAGGCATACGCGGGTCTAAATCGTTAAGGTGTTACAGGGGCTTGGGTTTCTTTTTTGTTTGTTTTTATGGCACTAGTGGTTCGTTTTTTCCACAGTAGGCTGACAGGAAAGGGGGTATGAGACAGAGGGAGAGACATGGGGGAAAGGACCACAGGCCAGATTCGAATCCTGGTCGCCTGTGTCGAGGACTAAGGCCTCCGTACATGTGTCTTGCACACTAACCACTGCACCGCCTGCACGCCCCGTTGAGTTTTTTTTTTTATTTGACGAGTGCCTTAAAAAATAAACAATTCAAAAACCCTGTTGGATATGCTCGTATTGCTAAAACTCTCTGCTTCCCATAAGAGGTTCCTGCAGCTGAAGGGCATCTAATAAACGTCAACAGAAGCTAATCTAATGTAAAGTAATAAAATCTATGATCAACTTTCTGTTTGAACCAGATATACTTTTGCTACAAGTATAACAACATTTGAAGAAAGAAAAAAAATATTACATTAAGGGATCACTATATACTTAATATTTAACCGTCCCTCTATTCCTCATTAAAAACAAGCACTGAATCAGCTTTGAGTTCAGCCAAGCCTCTCTACTGTACCACAAAGAGTTTGCTCAAACTGCTTTAAAACTACAGTAAAGCAGTGACCCTACTAAGTCTGAGCATGAGGAGTAAAGTGTTATAGTTCTACTTTAAAGAAGAGACCTATCTGTAGCCTACAAATGGCATACAAATGTTATGGGGCTGGGGTTTGTCAATAGTCTAAGTTTCTGTGTGAAGTCAACATTGAAACCTGTGAAGCTGCAAAAAGCAATTTACATGTTTTTGTTTACAATGCGAATTGCCCAAACAACAGACAGCTGTTATCCCAGGTGCTCACATGCAGTAAGCCAAGGCCCAAAAACATCGACCTACAGCTAAGCCCACAGTTGTTCAAACCCTTAGCAAATCTATGTTTAAAAGAATCAACTCGCTTCAGTATGAACATTTTCTAGAGGCTCAGTCTACATCCTGAGTTGAATCTCATAAAGGATATGTGGTGGGAGCTAAAGCTCAGCATAATGACAAGGTGGTCTTTCAACTTCAGTTTCATCACTAAAGATACATTATCTGTATACTAGTGGAAAAATGCAAAATGCTGGCTGCAAAACATGCAAAATTTTTCAAACTATTATTAAAAAGTTAAACAATTTTTAAAATGCAAAAATAAAATTAAACCCTTTTTTTTTTTTATTTCATCTTTTCAGCGATGTTATCTTTTGAAGCATTAAGCTGATTAAAACTGCATTAGCATCAGTCAGTCAATGAATAATTCTGGGCTCAGCTGTACTGGTAAAAGGACAGACATGCTGAACCTCATAAACCATAGCCAACAAAGTAAACAATAAAGCCTACTTATCTAGGTAAAACCTGCTTTTATAACACTTAATGATTTAATGGACATAAAGGTGATTAGTATCACTTTCATCAGGGCTCAAAGCTACCAAAGGATGGGTAAATTGCATTTTAAAGCTTAAACCTGTTAATAATGCTCCTTTTCCACATGCTCTAAACTGACTGCTTATTTTCTTTGGGTTTGTTATAGATGGTTTGAATGTGGAATCTGTGTTACATTGATATTTTTTAAGTTAACTGCTTGTGTCGAAGGCCTTTATGTGTACATAAAAACGCATTGATTTATGTTTCTAATATTAGTGTGGCACCGTACCTAACAGTGAATCATTAGATTGTGAGTTAGAAACCGAGTCCTGTCTGCCAAGTCTCTCTTCAGCAGCAGAGTCCAGACCACTATGGCATTCCACAGCTGAAGCACCTCTGGACTCCAGGGCAGCAATCTGTGGACAAAGCCGTAGCCATGCTTATTTTAGTGACTACAGCAGGTTAACAGGAGCAAAAACATTTACTCTCTGACCTGGACTCTTACCCTGTTCTGTAAGCTCCCCAGCTGCTCCTTGTACCACTTGTCTTTTTCATCTAGGATCTTTTTCAGTTCTTCCTCTTTCTTCACAAAATCTATTTCCCTGTTGATGATATAGAAAGTGTAGTTCCCTGAACACATTTACTTGATAAACAAATAGAGGTTTTATTTGACTGTAAAACGACTGAAACAACACCTTTTTTTTTCTTTAAATAAAAGCAAAGCTAACCTCAGATGTCAGCTGAAAAATAAGTTAAACTCACTTCTGCTGGTAGTCTTTGAGAAGTTTTTTGGCCTTGTTGTACTTCTTGTCCAGGGCCTCATACTGAGCCTGATTCTCGGCTAATTGCTCATTCACACTCTTGCACACAGCCTGGGCTTCCAGCCAGTAATTCTCCAGCTTTAAGATTTTTTCATTGCTCTCCTCAATTTTTTGCTCCAGTGCAGATTCCCTTTCTTCCCACAAAGATTTGTCCTCCTCCGATTTCCTTAACTGCAATGAGAACACAGCCTTATACAACAGGTTTAAAGAAGCTCATGTGTCATTGCTGGTAGACCTGTGCTTGCCAGCCAGACTGGTCGTTTCATCTCATAATAAGTGCTAATGAAGAGGAATCTCTTAGGTCATGATCGCATCAATTATTTATGAAGAAATAAAGCATAAAAAAGCACTCCTATCCACTGAGGATCATTAATGACTAGAATGAAAGCATGCAGCACCTTGTCAAACTATTTACTTCACTTGATTCTGTTCAGATTTTGTCACAATACAGTAAAATACTCCTCAGCATTCTATTGGAAATTGTTGAGAGAGACCAACTAAAAGTTGTGGACAGAAATCAAGCAGAAAATAAATGTAAGACACTTAAAACAGCATGCATAGCATCCATGCCTAAACTAATAACCTAACATGTAAGGAAAGGAGTGTTTAGGTAGGCAGACAATAGGTGCAAAGTAACTCTGGAAGAGCTGCAGAAACCCATGACTTGGGTGAAAGAATTGGTTAACTGGAACAATATTACGTTTATTCTACAAATCTGCCATTTATGTAAAGTGACAAAAAAACAAACAGTCATTAAAAGACTTGTGTGTATTTTTGCTTGGGCCATGGAGAGTCAGAAGGGACCAAAATTAAACTCTTTAACTCAAGTGCAATCCAGCTTCTGGTTAGCATTTTGTTTCAGATTTTTGGCTCTGCCAGCCCTTATTTAAAATTAGATAGGGAATGTGTTGAAGAGAGAATGGGGAGACATGAAGCAAAGTATTTGAACCAAGCACAGCTGCATCGGAGATCAGGTCCTCTATAGATGGGTCACATGTTCTAACCCCAAAAGCTGCCACCACCATGCTCCTAACCATCATTTGATGTAGGAACTTATTGTTACATATATCTCCCTGAACACACTATCCCCACAATGGATCATGATGGGGGGCTGCATCACGCTATAAGGATTCTTTACTTCATCAATGATGGGGAAACGAGACAGAGATGATTGGAAGATTTGTTTAATTGAAGGCAAAAGGACAGAGTTTACCTTCCAGGAGGACTATGAACGTAAAGAGAGCATTAGAGCTACAGTAAAAGGGTTCCAAAA